AACGCATTAAATGTCAACCTTTCCTTCGATGAATTGCAACATGTAGTTGAAGATGTACCTGCTAGTCATATATACAATTCGGTTCAAAAATAGTTGTCAAAGAAGTCTTAAGCGTTTTGAGCGAAAAATATAATATTCCAAGTTTACAAAAAGCATCATGTATTGTGGCAGTGTAAATGGAACTTTTAAATAGGGATGGCACTTTTACTTATTTTGATGTAAAAACGCGAATTACTTTTAAGCGCAAATTACTTTACATAACTTATATAAGAATATATAACTTACTTACATTTAAAAGTAATTTTTTTTTTTTTACGTAAATTATATAACGTGTAAAACTTAATTACTTAAGTTAAGTTTTTTAAATGAGTAACTGTTTATGAAAAAGTAATTTACTTTTACAAGTAAAAGTTATTTGCATTTTTACTTTTACTTGTAAAATTAACTTACTTTTAATGGTAAGTCGTGTAAAGTAAATTACTTTTAAAAGTAATTTTGGTTATAATTATGTAAAAAATTTACATCGAAATGTTATTTGCTTTTTAAATGTAAAAAAAGTTATTTATGAAGTAAACTTACGTAAATATAATATTTAAAAAACATAACACTTACTTTACCAAGTATAATTAAAACTACATCATAACAACAAATTACTTTTACGTGTAAAAGTAACTAATTAGCATTAATTAGCTTACATAAAAGTAATTTGAAAAAAATTGTTATTTACTAACAATTTTTTAAATAACAATTTTTTTCAAATTACATAAAAGTAATTTGAAAAAAATTGTTATTTAAAAAATTGTTATTTTATTTTACAAATAAAAGTAATTTTTTCTTACTTACAAAGTAAGAAAAAATTTGAAATTTTCGAAATTTTATACTTTACTTTGTAAGTAAAATGTAAGTTACATTATTTACTTTCTTAAAGAACAGTCATTTAATGTTGATTTAACGTAAATTTTGAGATAGGTAGCGTATTCAAATCCATTTTCTGTTTGAGGGCACTTCTGGGTACTACTTCAGGTATGTGGCAAGTATGTGGTGGGGCATCAGGAAAAAAATCTTTTCACGTATATCAGAAACGGTAGTTCTATTATAATTAGAGGCAAATATAACCATGCGGGAATAACAGTAGTGCAGAGACGGGAACCCTGCCGCATAGCTGCAGGATAATGCAGCTATGCGGCAGGGTTAATAGAAGCTGGTAAATGCTAATAGAAGCTGGTAAATAATCATTGATTTTTTATTTCTTTTTTTTTTGTTAAGTAGAAATAGTTTAGTGGCCGTAATGAAACTTTGTCGGTGGAGGCAGGGAGCATAATTTCTTAGCTATGGGTAATTCATGCATGTGTAAACCCTGACTAAGTCACTGTTTGTTAAAGCGCGCTTTTTCTCCAGTTTTTTTCTTTGTATTTGCCTTTTCAATCAAGTATTTTGTTATGGTAATATGACACAATATAATATTTTTGGTACCCGCAAGGACACCGACTGCTACAGCAGTTTTCAAAAAATTCTAAGTCATTTAAACTATAAGTTATAATTTATATGATTAAAGGAGTGTTTATCAGATATCATCTTTTATTGCGTTTTATCATATATAATGAAATTATATTGCGTTTTATTATATATAATGAAATTTCTATTTGAAAAAAGATGGTAAGAAAAGCTGTTTAATCTTCTAATATAGGTTGTGGGCACCCTAATAACCTACTTTTTGTTGCGTTGGTGTCCAACGCGCACAAGGACAATAGGACAAATAAAATCTTATTCAATTAAAATAGCGCTTTAGAATAAACTTGTAATTTTTTTTTTCAAACTTTATTTTGACTTTACAAGATGTTTGTCGGCTATTAGTTGTCCCGGAATCTTGCGATTGATTTTTCACTACCTTCCGGACTAGCTAGAGCTCTGAAACTTCCAGCATATGTGTAAATTTAATAAAAGTAAATCTTAAAATTGTTTTCAGAGCCCACTGGAGAACTCCACTTTTTGGAATCTATTCCTTTTTTATTATTATTTTACTTTATCTTTTAGACTTTATTTTGATCTTACTTTATCATGACAGCATTTGGGTAGTCCCAATGAAATTGCATGTTAAATTTGTTTCCTGCAAAGAGAGTTGTACCCTTTATTTTTTTCTCTAATATTTTGTTTTTCTCTAATAATTGAGGTCTTTAACCTTTTAGAAAGAATGATTTTTGCAAAAAACCTTTAAAAAGGCATTTTTTTTTTTGATTTATTTGTTTTAGTATTAATTTTTTGTCGGGAGGAAATAAGTTAGTGGCCCTGATAAAAATTTACCATAAAAAAGTCGTGCATATTTGTAGCTATGCTGCTGCTTTTTGCTTCTCTTAATCAGTGTGGTTGTTGTTAACGCTAATGCGCTAACTCAAATGCATATATAACAGCTTGGGGTGTGATACCCCCTTCACCACCCTGGTCCTGGTCGTAACAACCACTCTAACAGAAATGAATTTTTTTGTTTTTGTTTTTGTTTATTTATTAATATCTATTCATAAAACTGTTGTCTGGAATTAACTAATTTCAAGTCTATTCCAGACATTAATTATTCCTTTAATATTTTATTATCTAACAATTATTCTAGTTAGTCATTTCAAGAAATAACTTTGATTTTGGTTAGATTGGTTTTTAACAACAACCACGCTGAATAAAAGAAGCCAAAATGCAAAACTTAGAACAAAATGCAGAGCCATTTCCAAAGCAAGAACAATAAACGAGGCAGTCTTTTAAAAAAAAAATTTTAATAACTGATGTAAATAACATTAAAAAAGTTAAAGTTAAAATAGTAAAAGTAACTTTAAAATTAACTTAAAAAAAATTTATAACTTTTTATAACTACAACAACCGCTTATTTTAATTTGTTTAATATAACGAATTTAGTAGGATGGTTCAAAAAAGTAAAATACTTTTTAAAATACTGGTTAAAATACTTTTCCTCATTTTCAGTTAAATAAAAAGTTTTAAAGTAAAATTTCAATTCTTCTCTTTAAGTAGCATCGAGTACCGCAAGTTTCTCGAGCTTAAGTTATTTCTTTCTTTGCGATGAATAAAGTTAGCAACACTAAATGAGGATTCTGGCCGTATCGAACTAGCAGGTGAAGTACATACCTCTATTGCTTTAGAGGCTAACATTGGAATATCGTTTTCATACTTGCACCAAAATTCATCGAATTTCCAAGTTTTTGCTTTTATAGTATAATTGAAAAAGGATAACTACTTTTTTATATTTCGCTTTGACTGTGTTTTTTCTTCGCACAGATTAAAACCACACAATGTTGCAAGCTTAGCAAACCCATTTTTGCGTTTAACAGGAACTTCAGGTGAAACATGAAATTGAACATCATTACTTGAATCAATCATATCTAAAAATGAAAACAAGTATTTATATTAGCTGAAATGTAATCTATTTTTTAACAACACTGAAAATGTAAAAAAAGTAAAATTTTTATATTAAATTAAAAAAAAAATGTTTTTTAACAAACATAAATTTTAGGTTTATAACTAACCACTTCTCGAATAATTTTGTTCATTTTGCAAACAAATGTTTGTATGCGTTGATCTTCGAGGATATTGTCGGAGTGCTGACTTTGCAAATTTTTTCATAAGTTTGCTTTCTGCTTCTTGATATTCTTTTTCTGTAAGACACTCGTTTGTTCTCGGATCAAGGAAACATGCTAGCAAACTTTGCAGCTTTTTTGTGTAGGCATCTTTTCAACAAAGTATACCTTCATGAACTTGAGAAGACTAGCTCGTAACATGTTCTCTCTTTCCACTGTAGGAGATGGTTGTAAAAGAAAACATTTAGCTGAAGATTCATTTTGAAGAAAGTTCATTAACGTATTTTGGACGAATTTTGCTGAAGAAAGTGTTGGAAAATTTTTAGTAGAGAGAAGTTTAGTTGCTTCAAAAAATGGAGCAAGGTTATAATGTAAAATGTCTAGGAACTTCCAGTCATCTGATAACAAAGCTAGTTTCTTGAGTTTATTAATCTGTTTTTCTGTTAAAACATTGATAGTGCCAGAATCTATGGTAATTTTATTATAAACATATTTCGCTTTTATTATCTTACTAATCATCAAAAACGTTGAGTTCCAACGTACATGAAAATCTGACGTAAAGTTTTTTTAATTTTAGTCCCTGCTTCTTAATCTCACAAAAACAAATGATTGCAAAACAGAAGATTGTTTAACATTAGCCATCGTCTTTCTTAACCTGAATAATATGCTTGATGAATAAATGAATAACTGTTCAACATTTTCATTGGTTGACGCCTGCTCCTCCTCGCTACTTTCTTCATCATCTGAGCTAACGTCTTCTTTGTCATAAGTGCATGCAATTTCTTCTTGATCGTTAGATGAACTATTTCCATTTGATTCGATATCGCTTTCATTATAATTATTGTAATATATAAGATCTTCATCTACATCTGCTGTGCTATCTAATAAGTTATGTGATGGTTTAGTCCACAATTTGATTCCATGGTTCAAAACAAGATTTAAATTATGACAAATGCATGAAAGTCGTAAAGCAATAGATCCCATCGCCTTTTCAATATCTTCAGCGTTGTCAGTTGTAATTGAAATAATTTTAGATTCAATTTCAATTTTATTAATTTCTTTTTGTACAAATGCTGTAAGTCTATTACTTAATTGCCTTCCATAAAACCTACGAAAACAAACTATTTTTGATTTGTATTTAAATTTTTTTGTTAAGTAATGCGCTGTTATGCAAAGCCAAAACGATCCAACTCGATTTTTCCACAAATCTGTTGCTAGTGCTATGTAGGCAACTAATTTAAGCTTAGCTTTAAGATCGTTCTTGTATTGATAATACCGTTTTCTTAATTGATTAGCTATTGTCTTTCGATGAGGCGGCTTGCAATGCGGAGCAAGAATGTTTAGAAGAAGTTGCATACCAGGTTTATAAAAAATCGTTGAAAGGGCGGCTATCTTGAATAATACAATTTATTATGGCTTCATCTATTTCATCTCTGTTCTGCGTTTCGAGGAATTGATCTTGAGCATTTTTTTTTTTTGAGAATCGTAAAGGTACTCCGGCTTTTTATGAATATGAAATATATGTTTTCGCAGATTTGGCTCAGGCCCACATATAAGTTTTCCATTTTCTGGACACATCAAACAAATATATTTATTAGCTTCGGAAACAAATGAAAAAAGTGACTTAATGGACAATGGCTTCATTTTACAAACTGATTTTATAATTTGATCATCGTCAGTATCAGAGTTCGAAACTATAATATAAAAATAAATTCGTTAAAATATATTTCACGTATCAACGCAAATTAAAGACCGATTTAATGACTGTACTAGAGTATTTTTAATGGTTATAATTTTATAATATTATTATTATTACGTTCTATTTTCATTAGCTAGACTTTTTCATATCTCATTATACAAAATATGTTTACGAATATACCTGAATATGTATTACTGCCGCCAGATTGACCTCTAGATTCTACAGTTTCTATGTTTCTTTGAGATAAAGAAAAATGTTTTTGACGATGTATGTTGATAAACGCTTGCGTTCCAAATAAAGATGATTTAGATAATCTTCTGTCTTTATCTCTTTTTCCAGCCATATCTGTCAAAATAAAAATTAAGCAGTACTGGTGCTTTGATTTCGTTTATATAATTTTTACAAATTCAATAATGAAATGAAAAGAAAAAAAATAAATAAAATTTTTGTGCTTTTTTAACAGTTCTGCTTGCAAAAAAAAGAATAACTCAATGCTGCTCTTTTTTTCTTTTTTTTTTTTTTGGTTTCCTGTTGTTTTTTTTTGTAACTAATAATGTAATTTATTGCTGGAAAAAGATTCTCAATATCATACTTTTACTTTAAGTTATTAAGAGCATTGTTGTGTATTCCGCTGAGATATTCTTGTATCTGTACAGGATATTTTATTTTTATGCTTTTAATTTAATGGTATGTCAGAACATAATTTCTGTTTCTGAGAAAATTAAATTTCTTTCCAAAAACAATATAGTTTAACACTTTAGATAAAGCCAAAATACTTTTTATGGTTGTACCGAAATACTTATATATATATAACTTATCGTAACGCTCGTATTAATTAATTGTTTATTTTAAAATAACTATTTTTGTCATGTTTCTGTTCTGCGTTATATTTCAGTGAACGTAATAAAGGTGTTCACTACCGTAATAAAAAAGCAATTAAATGTACCGTCAGTTCCTTATTAACAGCAGGGCTCACCCAGCACCAGGTGCGCAATTTTATTATTGGGCCTCTTACGTTCGGTTGCCCTAACGCATAAGGGGCCGCACAATAAAATCGAGGATATTTTTGTTTTATTATTTTTTTTAGTCCGTTACCCAGTGCACAGCGGACCAGTAGGTGGACAAAATGGGAAAATTTTAGTTGTCTTGTCTTAATCTTGAAAACTTATTTAATTTTAGTATCTACATATATTAGGAGAAATTTATTGATAATTTATTTATATTAAATCCCTTTGTTACCATGACTCTAAGCATTTTAATATTGAAATTAAAAAAAAATTATAAATAAGTAATTTACGGTGACATCAACACTGTTATATTTCAATTACATCTACGTTTTTAAAATGAATAATTAGTACATGTTATTCTAGAATATTTAAAGATAAGAAAAACCAATGCGTGAAATAAATATGTCATAGCATGTTATTTCAGTTATACTTTGAAAATCACAAATTAAAAAAAAAAACACTATGAAATTTATTTTTTGCCGCACTATAACTAATAATTACCATGCGCAGCCTTATTTTTGTTTAAGCTATATGATGCTTTAATTAAGTTTGAGTAGATTATTCCCTTAAATTCATCCCCTTAAATTCCCGTTCAGATATCACATGTTTTAAATTGGTTGCCATGGTATTAAATATTGCATAGCAACTACTCAACAGTATTTTATTTGTGCTAAGTTCACAATATTGGGGGTATGTAGTAAAATGAGATTCAGAATTCTAAGGTTAATTTTTTTTTGGTTGCTATGGCTACCTTAATTTGCATAGCATATAAACAACATATTTTTGGTAGTTGTTAGTAATTTAATAACTAACACTAACTGTAATTTAATTACTTTTAATTTTAATTACTAACACTTGCAGTAACTTAATTACTAACAAGAATTAGTAGTCCACGCAGCATATATATTATTTTGGCATTAGCCAAAATTTGCAAAATATAAATACGTTGGTTAGACTTTCTGTTCAACGATTTGTTTACTTGTATAAAAAAGTAGTGGAAATCTGCAAACTATACAATTAAAAATTTTTTTTTCTCTAAACTATATCAACCTGGTACTCAAAAGAAGCAGAATAATATGCTGATTTTGAAAATATTATTTGTTTTAATTAAAAAATAAAAAAATAGAGCTGTTTTTTTCATAAAAACAGCTCTATTTATACCTTGAAATCCCAGTCTTCGACAAAACGGGGGTTTCAAGGTATATTTTTGCAAATATTTTTTTCACTAAAAATTTTTTTAATAAAGTTGTTATTTATCAAACAAGCATTTTTTCCTGCGTTTTTTGAGTTCAAGGTTGATATGGTTTTAAAACAAAATTCAAAAATATTAGTACCCGTCAAGAATTTATAATCCAAAGAGGAACCTCAAGATCTAATCAAAATCAAAAAATATTTTTTTACTTTTATCTTATAAATAATAGGCATCGATTCGTGTCTCAGGAATATTGATTTTTTTGCTATGAAAATTGCTCCCCCTTTATATAGAACTGTGACATATACTTTAATTATCAATAATTTGTTACTTTATTTTAAAGCGTTTATCAATAAATTGTTCCTTTATTTTAAAGCGTTTCGCTAATATAAAAACATTAGTTAAAAGTTTTAACGTAACTTTCACTTAAGGTATAATTCAGATTATTTTTCATTCAGCGCGTTATTAAAATGTTAGTGAGTAAAATAAATAAAAAATTTTTGCTACAAGTTCATAAAAAAAAAATCATTTATCATTTTGAAAAAGATAAAAATGTTTAGACAAATATAATAATCATAAATCAGCGTACCTATATTACAAAAAAAAGAAGTTTAAACCTTATTTATTAGGAATATTGTTTACCTTGCTTCAATACCCAAACACGATTTGAACAACCAAACAAATAAATATTTTAGGTGTCTTTTGAAGGGGTGCTAAAATTATCACCCTGCCAAAATTACCCTATTTTTAATGTTTTTATTTTTATTTTTTATTTTAACTTATTTATTATGTTTTTAATGTTTTTTATTTATTACATTATTTATGTTTCATTACTAATTTTTTAATCTTGGAGTAGTGTAAAAAATGTCTTGAAAAAAAGTTGTCTAAAAGTACTGTTTGAAGATATTTTTTACACTCGGCGCATCCCTAATATACATATAAACAAATATTGTACATGTATAATAAATGTGCATATAAAAGAAAAAAAATACCACTTACTACTGCTATGCGTGATTCAATTGTTTATGAGAAGGTATTATTTATTCCAATAATTACTACCTTTTGTAATTAAAACTTCAATTTGTCTGCTTACAGAAGCAGTTTAAGTGTCCGTAAGGATGTCTTAAGCAAGTCATTACAAAAATATTTGTATATAGAGCCATCGGCAAAAAATACAGGGCTGGAGGACAAATATTGATTCTAAGCTTTTTATTTATTTGAAAAAAAAAAAGCTTTTATATACATAACTGTATTCTCTTTAAAAAATTTAATTACAGTTTTATCTGTTTATAAAGCTAAAACCCCCTTTTGTTTATGCAATTACAATCCCAACACAATCGTTATTGTATGATTAAGGTTATGCAATAGTTGTTGGAGGAGTCAAATGTTAAGATCTTTACACAACTGTTAAATATACTTTTGAAAAATAGTATTAATTTTCAGAAATATTAGGGAAGGGATTACGTGAAAGTAATAAGAGTTTTATGAAAATAACAAGATCTATCAAGTTTCATCTTTTAAAAAATTTTTATGCTCGTTTTTATACCTTTCTTTTCTGTCGCAAAAATTTTTTTGTCATTTTTTGTCATAAAAATTTTGTAATTTTGTAATTTTTTTGTCACAAAAATTAAGTTGACCTACATGCTCACATTCAATTTCGGGGAAGCCAAACATGTAAGTCCAATTTGGTACATTGTTAAAAGGATAATATTTTTTATATATGCTAGTTCACGACAAGTTAACTAGCTTACATAAAAAGTTTATTTTTTTCTTTAAAGACGTAAGGTCGTGCGCAACTTCTGGGTTATGCTTGAGGGGCGGGTGTGTCGTACCTCCCTAAGATTGTAAAATTTCAACTTATTGTATCTAGGGAATTTTCAAATGGAGTAAAGCACAAAAACAAAAACAAAATAAAAACCTTTAAAAAACAGTATACATTAAAAAAAGAACAAGAGGCATTAAATTCTCCATCATTTTCTGTTCTTCTAACATTAAAACTGTATTTAATTGAGCTTAGTTTTTGATGTCGAGATCGAGATCTGTAGGTTTTTTAAAAGAATTTTTAACTGATGCTAAGACCCTTTTTAGTAACTTTTGTAATTTTTTGGAACTCCAAACCTTTCAACAGAATTAAGTAAGGGCAAACTTGATTGCTGTATAAGGGTTCGACCATAAACAACAATCAAATTTTTTTTTTATTTGATTGTGCATAAAGTTAAACCCTTAAAAAATGAAAAAGTGTATTTTTTTTATTTGGCGATTTTTAATAGTGGGTAGCCATCTTAGATAAAAACTGGTAGAACTACTATTTACGCTTTTTTATAAGTTGGTATATTTGTCATTACCCAGTGAGATCTGACCGGTTAAGGTAGAAACTATTGTGGTGGTGCAGTTTACTTTTAGAAATATATGTTAAGTTAGGGCATAGTCAATCGGATTTTATTTTTAAATTAAGCAAAAGTTAAAATATGTACTTTATTTTTTCAAGGCAAAAGGATTGAGATATATGTTTTTCATGATGATAAATTACTAAAACCCAAATATTTATTATCTATCGGCTCACAGAAAGGTTTAGAGTGAGTTGCGTTACGTTATTCACTGTGCCCCAGTACTGGGGCACAGTGAATCAATGAACACAGCTGTGAATTAATTATAGTGATTAGCGGCATAGTCAAATAAATATAAGGCTAAAGACACTGTAAAAATAGACCTTTTGAAAATTGAGACGAAAAAAAAGAACTTTATTGATAACAAAACTTATGAAAGTTAAAATTTATAGAAAATTAAAAAATTATTCAAATATTATTATTAAAAACTTAAAACTAATAAATTCATTTTCATGTAGTTTGTTTGTTAAAAATGCATGAATTTAATCTTTAAGATCATTAATTGGACATTAGTGAACCAACCTATTCACTGTACCCCGGTTCACTGTGCCCTTTCATAACAAACTTAGTTTAAGTCTAATTTATTGGAACATGAGTGTTGTACTAAAAGGAAATATCATAAACTACTAAAAGAAAATATCAATAATTCGAATAAAAAACTTCAACTTTTAAAATTATTTCAACCATAATCTCCTTAACCAACTTATGTTGGTTATATTATTTACCTTCCTTATGGAAGGTAAGAAAATTTACTTTA